TGTATCAGTCACATGTACACATGAGTATCATGTATCAGTCACATATACACATAATATCATGTGTCAGTCACATATACACATAAGTATCATGTGTCAGTCACATATACACATAAGTATCATATGTCAGTCACATATACACATAAGTATCATATGTCAATGACATACACATGAGTATCATATGTCAGTCACATATACACATAAGTATCATATGTCAGTCACATATACACATAAGTATCATATGTCAGTCACATATACACATGAGTATCTATTTTTTTTAAAGAAATATACTGAAACCACAATATTATCTGCTATCACATATATTTGAATTTTTATAGATTGAATAGCCCATCAGAAATTATGCTAATATTTTTGAACATGAATAATATTAAAGATTGAAATTTTAATCCGTCAACAGGTTAATTGAAGTGGGTGCTGAATGTCGATTGCAGTCGATGATGCAAAAATGATTGAAGGTTCGAAAAGAAATTTGCAACACACAGCCTGCCCCCCACGATCCACATAGTCACAGTTACAGCTTATGTCCCAGCTTCGGCTATTTCGCCGATCTTCATCAATCTCAAAGGAAAAAGATCATCGTCTCCGTAATGGGAAACATCTCCGTCTTTCCATTTCACTCGCTTTCGCGTTTTCTATCATTTTTTTTTTTTTATCCACTTTTTCACTTAACTCGCTCCGGGCTCGCCCTTTCGAGATACACGACTACCATTATACTTTTTTTATTTTTCTTTATATCGCACGGTACGCCTCGAAATAATATTTCGATAATAATAATATATATATCCAAATATACCATTTAAAATATATATATATTTATATATATAAGTGTTTTCCATTATAATATATATATACTTTTTATTCATATTTATTCGTATAATTAATACGTTCTCAATATGGCTGACTACTAACGCTACGTAAAAATGCTCCTACTGGGTTTCTTTTATTTTTTTTTATCGTTTCTTTAAAGCGTGGTCGAAGATCAACCGAATAAAAACAAGAAAAGACGAGACGAACGGAGGGAAGAGTATAATAAAACGACAGAAAAATTAAACAACCAAAAAATAAAACAAAAACAGAACACGGGAAACAAACAGAGCGAAAATGGCGGGAGAAGAAACGGTCATTTATGGGTCCACGAACAAGCGTCTATGTACAATGCATTTTTTCAATGTTTTATTTATTAGTTTCTTACTTATTAACTTCTATTCTTCTCGGTTTCTTTTTGAATCTCAAACTACCTAGATTAGAGGAGAAATTTGTTCGTGTTTTTAATCGGTGCTCTATCGCTGTATGCGTAACTGGAGATATTCATTTCACGAAAGATACCTGAACAGAGATATCTCGATATCGAAGTCCTTCATCGCAATTTTGTATAATGCATTTTGCTAGATATATGTATGCTAAGAACATCGACAATTTACATTTTTCATAGACTGATCGAAGAACACTAGTATCAGTACACACAAATAGTTATTATATTAAATGACTGACTTCCACATCGAGGTAAATGTGTCTCATTTATAGTCTGTTTAAAATGAACCTAGTTATTCAAATTTGGAATTTAGGAGCAAAAATTGTTTCTGTCAAGATGGTAGCACTAATCAGAACTGCTCACATGCTAATAAATAAATGAAAGTGTATATTCATATTGGAGAACAAAATTTTATAGAATTAAGTATAGAAAATGAGTCAACTTGTTAGACAAATAAGATGACTATAAAGATGATGACTGCAAATATACAAAAGGTAAAGGTTACACCTGTGAAGATGTCAGACAACAAACAGCAGTCTCCAAACTTTGATATCAAGAATATTTAAAAATAAGTAAAATTGTAATAAATATTTTTTGCAATTTTAATTAAGCCATAATACTGTCCAAGTTCATTTCAAACAAGCTATACCTTTACCAGCCAGGTACCTCGTAAATCAATAGTTCCAGCGAAAACTACACGGTGTAAAAAAACGAGAGAATGAAAAACAAAATAAAAAAAAAATGAATGGGGGAAAAAAGTTTAAGTAAACCACGGTAGCCTTACAGGCCGAACACTGGGCGCGCTGGTTTCACCGCGCTGCAGGAAAACAGGAAGTTTCGCTTTTCTCTACGTGCGCACCACGTTCGTTCGTTCGAACTCTCCTTCCTTTCCTTTGGTCGGAATGCTATATAAAAAAGTTTATCGCGAACACGTTTAGGGAGCACGTTACGCGTCGGCTCCCATTTCACGATGCCACCGAATGGCAGTTTACTATCTTATTACATCACAATTGTACGACGATCCTGCTCGCTCTCGCGTTTACCCCCTCCTCGGGTAAATAGAGAGGAGAGAAGAAAACTCGATCGACAAAAGAACTTATCAAATGAATCTAGAAAACGACGAAAAGCCGGAGACAAGTTGCTGCTGAACCCCGCCGATGTTGATAATAATAATAATAATAATCCGTTGGACGACGTGGGGGAAGGGGGAGAGAACACTTTAAGGGGGACAAGAGTTCTAATCCTTCTTAGGGTCCTACAAAATACGATAATGATAATAATAATAAAACGGTTTAATCACATTTTTAGACGCATCGTATTCTAATGAACGAACGAGAGAGAGGATTCAAAGAAAAAAATATAATAATTAAACGGAAGAACTAATTCGATTTATCGTCGTAAAGAAATCACAATCGAAGAAAGAATAAACACAGGGTGAAACCTAATGGCTGGTTCACCGCACAGAACTTGTGCTCCCCAGAAATGCTCGCATTTCTGGCGACGAGATTGTAGTTCGTAAAAAATACCCTATATTTAAGTTACTATTTTACGACAAGAACATCAAGACTCTAGGTAATTCGCCCGTCGAACGATTCGGATGAACGTTTCGAAAATCTTCGAGAAGCACTACCACTCCAGGAGAACTACTCGCGGGTCATTCTAAATTTCGCGTTATTGACTTTCCATACGTCTGCACCAGTGACGAGAAGAAATTCAGATTTGTTGCTCTTCATCTTAACGACACCATTTCGCGCGCGATTCGTCGGGGACGAATGGCAATATAATATTTCTATGTAATAATTCGCGCGGGCTCTAGACACAGACGAATACGCGTTTTTTACCTATAAATAAATACTATTACTTTCTACACACTGGAATACTTTGACGGAGTAACGTCACGAATGCTTATCTGTTAATCCAAGGTGGAAGAGAAAGAGGCAAACAAACAATAATAAAAAATAATATTAATAATAATTAATAATTACTCATAATGATCGTAATCAGAAAAAAATATCGATAATGAAACAAAAAAATATAATCATAAAATAAAGAGAAGTCTTTACTCGGGAGACAGAGACAGATAGAGAGACAGATAGAACAGTCCACGGGAAATACACTATCGTATCGACAGCCTTATGATGATTTTGGTTTCATCCCCTCGAGAACCACCAGGATCGGAATCCGGGTGGTCCCGAACAGGGACACTAACTATCCTTTAATTATAAATTCCTCTTCGAACATCTATGAGTGTTCTCGCTGGGACGAGAAGTCCCGGAGTCGGGAACGCAAACAACGAGACCTAAATACACGCTAATAAACGAGATCAAACGGTTCAATTACGCGAAATCGCAATGATCGACGTGTAACAAAACAGGGAAGAAAAAGAACGAAGTTCGGAAGCGACAGAAAGAAAAGAACGGTGGGACCAAAGTTAATCGACAAGAAGAAAGTGGCAAACTGTCATAAAAGAAAGATGGAAAGAAAAAAAAAATAGAGATAGAAAAACAGAGAAAGTGGCGCGCCAAAGAAAAAGGGTGGAAACCCTTGAATCCAGGGCGCCAAAAAGAGGCGTCCTTCGTGGAGGAGGGCGCCCACTAAGAGCTAAGCTACCGGAGATCATTCGAAAACTGTACACGGGACTCGCAGCTAGCCAATTAAGATGCTGCGATCCACGGTCTATCGATTATCTACTTTAATTATTAAAACGTCGACTTATTACTGAATTTTATTATTTTAGTTAAATCCTCTATACAATACAGTACGTTGCTCCCCTCTCACGTCACGTGTGTCCTCGCCCGTTTCCCTACCTGCTCACTCTTGCTTCTTACACATTTTTCATTTTCCTCGTCTTCATTTTTTTTTTGGAATACACTGAGAGACTCTCTTCTCGAGATACTTTCTATGTACAGATGATTCGACCATCGACATGAACGTCTAACAATTTTCGAACACCCGATTCGATTTCTGGACGCAACTTTTCGAATTTCAATTTCATTCAGACAAATTTCTAGGGTTTTCAGTAATTTTTCTAGGTGACCAAGTTGGGGATCTTCGATCGTTTGCGAGACGTCATGACGCGGTGTCATTATATCCCAGATAGAGTTCTGCCTCGCCTGAATCGGCTAGGTAACCGCGTTATCTACAAGCCACGTCAAAATAACTTCCTACCGACGGGAACGGGACAAATCGGTTGTTTTATGAATAAAAGAGAGAGATACAGAGAAAGAGAGAGTGAGCGAGAGAATACAGAGAAAGAAAAACCGCGCGTAGCCTATCTGTCCCGTTCCGGTAATCACACTACTTTATTTAATTCTCTTTATTTTATATCCGTAATGAGATCATCATTTGATTATTGGGTTGTCCTCTTTGGATCTCGTCCTTAGCTCCCCGTCACCCTCACCAAGACACCCCGTGTCAAGATCGTCACCTTCGTTCTTCGTCCGTCATCGAAAACAACTCTAAACGAGAAACATCATATTTCTCTTACCTTCAACAGTGACGCCTGAAGGCGGACGATCGAGCACGGTCGAACGAACAGTCTCTCTGTTCGGTAACGTGACCACGTTCCGCCAACACGAGCGAGAATGCACCCTGAAACATGTGTACCTAGTTGATCGACGATCATGAAGAGTTTCACTCGAGCAAGGAATATCAACGAGATCGACGAACCACTTGGACGCAACGATCTCTTCACGGTGTGTATCAAAACGTCAAACAACGAGCTGTTAATTCAGGTCACTCTGACTCTTCGACGAGTAACTGATCGACGAGTTCCATCCTCGTCGACGTTAATCCCGTCTACGACATCGTCATTGTCGTCTTCCTCGAAGCCTTCGTCCTGCTCCTCCTCGCGCGAAGGGCCGAACCCGAGGAAGGGCCAAAGACGATAACACAGTACGCGTGCATTCTCGATCGCGGGCGAAACACACGTATACATAGAAAATATATCGTAAGGTAGATCATGTTGGATGTTGTCGCAGGACGACCACCAGGAGCTGCCCGGGCAGTGCCCGTCCTCTTCGCTCTCCGCTGGCCCGCCGGCACTCGTAACACTTAAGGACCGTGGTAAGCACGTCCTGCTTGCAATTCTTCTAGCCGTGGCATCGATCTTGGATGAACCTCCAGAAGAGTGGCTACCCTGAAGAGGAATCTCCGACGAGCTGGAAGGACCAGGTTCACCGGTGGACGGCTCGTCGTCCTGGTCTCTGGTGCCGTTCCAAGCGTCGATGATCGTTCTTCGAGTCCTCGAGCCATCGCCGTCGCCGCGGGACGCGGCCACGGGACGAGACTGTCGCGTCTATCGAAGACGAGAGACCAATCGCCAACCGAGGTACAGGGCCACCGTCGTCCACAGGGTCTCCCGGAGTGGCGCAGGGATCAACAGGGACAGGATGCTGTCCGTGGAACCGGTGGTGTTGCCGGAATTCGCGAAGCCCGGGTTCATCGCGGGCAGCCTGGACTTTTCGATCTCGGCCGCCTGGAACAACAATGAGAAACTTGTTCGTTAATAAGTTATGTTTCTTTAATTTTGGGATGTTGAGTCTTTATGTTGATAAAAATTTGCGTAATTGTTAAGAGAGATCTACGATACCGACCGTCGGTACATCTTTGATATAACCATTAGAGGGAGCGATAATTGCTTGGCGGTTTATATTTATATTTATATTATTTGTTTCATTTCGTTATTAAAATAGGCTTTACAAATTAAGGATATACCTCTAAGTTTCGGCGTAATTTTCGAAATCACAAACGCGATGTCACAAGTATTCGACAAGATCGAGCTACAGCGAGGGTCTCCTGAGGGGTGGAACAAGGGTGGGTGCGGAAAGAAGGGAACGCGGCTAAGGCTCCTAATTGGGAGTGTCCTAATTGGACGGAATTACCGTCGATTCGACACTCCTTGCGGCTAAGCCTCCGGCATAGAAAAAGCGCCGCGCTCTTTTTTTTATCGAGTTCCCTTATCCCTCGGAATTTACACGAGAGGCTCGAAGGGGCGGATGTCCCGACGAAGGTCCACCGTCACTCCCTCGCAACACAAATCGGAAACCAGAGCGTATTAATGCCGGTTAATTGTCAATTAATTTCCACTTTGAAGAATATCGAGGCAATCCCGTGAACCTCTCTAAGAATCTGCCTCCCACCCTTTCCTCTACAAAAGGTCTTCGTTATAACTTCCACGAACGATTCATTATCCAATTAGTCATCGAGGATGAAATCAACTCGACGAACGGTTATCGATAACGCCGTCCTCTCCCGCGAGTTAATTCGTCCAGAAGCTCGTTCGGGCGAAGGTTCGTTAAAATATTAATCGCTTCAAGATCGAAGATCCGTATCAAACCACCCCCGGCATCCGAGATAATGTTTCCCGCGAGCAATCGTATATCTTTCTGCGAGAAATACTCTTTGTTTGCCCTCGATCACGCCACCCCTGAGCCGCAAGGTCTGGGTCGTGCACGACTTCCGATCCTCGTTTCGTCTTAATCCACTCGTGCCGGTCGGACGTGCAATAATAAACGCCGTGGAACAGGGGAGAGAGAAACCGAGGTACAGGGCCACCGTCGTCCACAGGGTCTCCCGGAGTGGCGCAGGGATCAACAGGGACAGGATGCTGTCCGTGGAACCGGTGGTGTTGCCGGAATTCGCGAAGCCCGGGTTCATCGCGGGCAGCCTGGACTTTTCGATCTCGGCCGCCTGGAACAACAATGAGAAACTTGTTCGTTAATAAGTTATGTTTCTTTAATTTTGGGATGTTGAGTCTTTATGTTGATAAAAATTTGCGTAATTGTTAAGAGAGATCTACGATACCGACCGTCGGTACATCTTTGATATAACCATTAGAGGGAGCGATAATTGCTTGGCGGTTTATATTTATATTTATATTATTTGTTTCATTTCGTTATTAAAATAGGCTTTACAAATTAAGGATATACCTCTAAGTTTCGGCGTAATTTTCGAAATCACAAACGCGATGTCACAAGTATTCGACAAGATCGAGCTACAGCGAGGGTCTCCTGAGGGGTGGAACAAGGGTGGGTGCGGAAAGAAGGGAACGCGGCTAAGGCTCCTAATTGGGAGTGTCCTAATTGGACGGAATTACCGTCGATTCGACACTCCTTGCGGCTAAGCCTCCGGCATAGAAAAAGCGCCGCGCTCTTTTTTTTATCGAGTTCCCTTATCCCTCGGAATTTACACGAGAGGCTCGAAGGGGCGGATGTCCCGACGAAGGTCCACCGTCACTCCCTCGCAACACAAATCGGAAACCAGAGCGTATTAATGCCGGTTAATTGTCAATTAATTTCCACTTTGAAGAATATCGAGGCAATCCCGTGAACCTCTCTAAGAATCTGCCTCCCACCCTTTCCTCTACAAAAGGTCTTCGTTATAACTTCCACGAACGATTCATTATCCAATTAGTCATCGAGGATGAAATCAACTCGACGAACGGTTATCGATAACGCCGTCCTCTCCCGCGAGTTAATTCGTCCAGAAGCTCGTTCGGGCGAAGGTTCGTTAAAATATTAATCGCTTCAAGATCGAAGATCCGTATCAAACCACCCCCGGCATCCGAGATAATGTTTCCCGCGAGCAATCGTATATCTTTCTGCGAGAAATACTCTTTGTTTGCCCTCGATCACGCCACCCCTGAGCCGCAAGGTCTGGGTCGTGCACGACTTCCGATCCTCGTTTCGTCTTAATCCACTCGTGCCGGTCGGACGTGCAATAATAAACGCCGTGGAACAGGGGAGAGAGAGCTCAATCTCCGAGAGCAGAGGCTTTTATGGGGTGGCAATAATATCTGGTCATCGTCGGCTTCGATCTGACCCGCTCCACGTCCCTCCACAAACACGGATCGGAGTATGGGTGCGCATAGAGAAACTCTAAGCGTAAGAGATTACGCTCGGAGCAGGAGGGTGCGAGCAAGAGGAGCAGAGGAAAGCGTCACATTAAGAAAGAATTATGGTGTATGGACTCTTCTCGTGGGAGTCCTCCTCGTCAATTAATAGTGTCCCCTTTCTCTCTGTTGTGCTCTTCGCGCCTTGTTTCAGCTCTCGTCGAGGCCCCTCTGCCCTCCATGCCCCCTCCTCGCGAGCTCTTTTCACCCTCGTTTTATCTGGAATCGTCTCGAGGAAGCGAGAACTGGGCGTGACGGTTGTTTCACGCGTCTCGAGCCACCTGCGACGACTTTCTCTCTCTCGAGGTTGGCGTATGAAAAGATGGCGGTCGAGTTTTATTGCTCCGGGCCCGGAAGAGAACGCTCGCTCGCTTGGCCAACGCGATTTCGCTCGTCCAGCGGTTAAACGCGAAATTTATGCTCACGACCGGGTCGCGGTGATTACGATGTTGAAGTTTATCGTTCGGCGGACGGTAAATTCGAATTGTTCGGAGGTGAGTTGCGTAACCAACTGCAGATCATTGCTGCTATTAGAGTGCGAGTTCTGCTGGTTCCTATGTCATTTGCTTATGCTTTGCTAAAGGTCAGATCTTGGTTGAAAAATACATCTTTCTTATAAGGGATGAATCATTTATGCAGAATCCTCTTATATGTGCCACAATTCTTATAGGAATATTCATAAAGATATGAAAGGTATTGTGCAAAATGGTCTCTAAGATGCAACAAGCTGTAATTATTTCAGCAGCAGCCGCATGTTAATTCGAGCATACAGAATGATTAATAAATCATCCGACAGGAAGCACGCTTCAATTCGTCCAACGCGAAAGGAAACGCATCGTCGATTCAGAAGGCGTGCGTTGCAAATTTAATTAAACACGCGAGATGCACCATGGATCATCCTGTACATCCCGCCTTCTTGCGAAGTTCGATCACGCGATCTTGTTACGGGGAAAAGTTTTTCTGTCCTAAGGAAGGAAAAGATATAGCCTATTGGTTTTACGGACCCCAAGTTCAACTCTGAAGCAACCAATTAAACTATGGATGCCGACAGCATCCTTCTGGAAAACGTGGTCAATTAAGAACGTACAGTATTGCTTTTATAAGTGACAATTCGCATTTTGATTGCAAGGTTCACTTTTATATAAATTGAAAAATTTTATATGTTCGTTATGAAAGTAAAATACTGACAGTGTATAACCTAGAAAAATATAGACCCCACGCTAATGGTTCCCTAATTTTCCCAAACATTCTGGAACCTATCTCTACGTAATATTAGTCTACCTAACCCTCAAACAACGGACCCAAACTACCACTTAGGCAACTGCGTAATCGTTCAGACAGGATTAACTCCAAAAAAAGGAGAGATTCTATCTTCGAAGCCCAGGCAGTGAAAACAATGACCGATATCAAGAAAAGATTGATACGAGTCACCACAAAAGAACAATACACCATCCACGTGCTGTTGCTTATCGCAAATCATGAACAACCACGAAAAATGGACACAATCGCAACGGCAGTCCTCTCGATAACCATTAGGCCTGGCTCGAACGTGTACCGTAACGATGTAAACGATAAACGAGTGTCTCGATAGGAGCCGACCAACAGCAGCCCCGGCTACTGCTCCGGGATTATTGTGCAACGTAATTGCTTGGTTCGCCATGGAAACGATCGTTCGGCCAACTCGGTTTCGCCGAGTCACGTAAGAAAAAGCCGATGGAAAACGGAGGTTTGCGGTCAGGACTTTGAGGTAGGCCAGGTAGCAAACGTACTGTGCCACGGGTCATAAAATTCTGTTAGTTAGGTCGAAGCTTAGAGAGTATCGCGACGAAAATAAGACGTAAACCGAGGGAGGAGCCGACGAATCGCGTGCTCCAGAACAGATGACCGATCAGTTAGCAAGAAAAGCGAGCTAGATGTTTCTTGTTCGCCAACCGAGAGAAGACCCGTTATGCTACCGACTGGTTACTGGCTTAATGTATCAATTTGCGCGTCGGATCATCGTTTGAATAACTGATAAATGTCGGTGCAACGTTTCATTAGCAGCACTGCGGCTAAGATTGCTCTCCCTATTCGAGGAAATCCGATCCATAAGCAGCAACTTGGGCTTCGACTGACCGTAAGCCAATTTTCTCCCCGTTACCATGAATGGTGGTTATGGAGATTCCTGGAAAACGTAGCGTGCTACTTGCACGTCTGACCTCCCTCGATGAACGCTTATTATGGATTAACTGGGGAAAATTTTTGTTGGAAATTTTTATTTCATACTTCTGGTTTTGTAGAAAAATTGTTTCTCACTAATTAACGGATTTTAGTATTATATTGGAAATGCATTTAATTAATAACTTCGGTTAGAAATTACCTAGAATGTACAGTTACTCTTACGGTAGAAATTTACTTGGAAAGGATTAGGTTGAGATGAACTAATGGGCGTAGTCGTAGGAAGATTATCGAGGATGAGTACCAAAGTTAAAAAATTCTGAAGTTCTAAGATTTTAAAATCCCAAAGGAATATTATAAATTCAAGAATCTGAAAATTGCAAAGTTTCAAAATCTTAAGGTTCTAAAACTTTGATGTCCTAAGTGCATATATTCCTTTATGTCTTACAAGGACATAAAGTTCCAAAATTGTATAGATGTGGGAAGTGCCAAATTATCAACATCCCCAAAGTATAAACTGCCCAAAACTTGTGAGTCCCAAATTCTAAATGATCCAAAATCTCAATACCCCTCAGTCCAAAACATACTTCCAAAGTTGCAAAATCCCAAAATTTCAAAGTCACAAACTTCTTAACCCCAACAAGCTTCAAAGTCCACAAATCCCAAGACCACCATCATCACAAAGTCCTAAACAAAATGTCAAAAAAATAACAACCCCCACTAAGATCAAACAATTTCCAATTTACTTCCTCAATTTCCTCGAATTGTCAACAAAATTCAAACAACATCCAAACAATCAACAATGTTTTCACTATCCGACGAAATTAAATTCAAGTACCAGTGACCCCGGCGGTGTTTACCGTGTTAAACAGAATCTCCGCGGAATATCAAGCAACAGACCCCAGCAAGAGAGAATCGCGAGCAAGAGGAAACGAGAGGAAAGAATGCTCGCGATTGCACGAGATAATTGAAGATAATTTTCTCGGCCCGTGGCCACGGGCTCGTGCTGCCATGCCCACTTAACTTTCACGTAAGGGGATGTGACCACTTAGCCGTTACATGCTCGCTTACTCTCCATGCATATGTAAAACGGTGGCTTCCCATGACGAATGGGGAAAGAAGGGCCTCGTAACTTGCGCACGACTTCTTCGATCGATTAGCTTTCATTTCAACCCCTATAGACATCGGCTGGGTGAATCGCGATGTCACCGAGTAAAGACTTACAACGTACGAAGTTGCATTTGATGTTTAATGCGGAAAACGTGCAATTGAGAACACCTGCCGTTATCGACCGGAGAAAGTCCCCGGACACTATACAATAATTTTATAGTCACTCATACGCTGTTTCATAGGGAATTCACCTTGTTTTTTCATGAGTTTGATTATTCATATGTACTCTACATGTCATTTGGAAGCGTTCTATTTTTTTCAATTTAAGACTGAAGTGCTTGTAAAGCTAAGGACGTATTGTGTCGTCTTTCCATAAAACAGAAATTGTTAGGAGGTGTCCATGAAACGTTTGTTCACACAACAGTCGAAAATCGAGCAACACTCAGCAAACAATCGACGAAGCAGTCAGTTAAGTGAATGGTATCGAATGGATCCAAATCTAGGAGGACAGGGATCTGCCCGGACCATCGTCGGATTAATCTGACACTCGGATTCCCCCAGAGGGAGAAGGGCAAACAACAACGGAGGAGACAATTCCCTTGTCGAGAATTCGCCACGATTCGTATTATCAACAAGGCGGTGGAATTGCTCGAGTTACCGAGCCGTGGAACCGATCGGTATCAGATCTCCGGCGCAAAGGCGGGCGAGATTTCTTTAATTTCACGGATCCGTTCGTCCCCTTCAATTACCGTCACTTAACCAGCAATAATTAGACGTTCCAGGATTGGGTATCACGGTGCCGCGGACCTTTAAAGCGAATCAAGTCGAGACGGATAAAAGAGGCACGCCCTTCCACCTTGTTCATCCTTCTTTTCCCCTTCTTCTCCTTCCCTCTTCCTCTCTCCGTGTGTCGTTAGTTCCGCTTCTTTCTTTCAATCGACCACGGTAAATCACGAGGAATCTCGTGAAACCGTGAAAGGACTCCTTCCTGGTCTTGTCGCCGACATACAGTGGAAAGGACGACCGTAATAATCGTCTCGACTCCACCGATACTATCCCCGACTCTTTTCTTCACGATCTCGCAGGTTACGACCGACTGCTTCGGGGATTACTTCTGTTTTTATGTCCATCTCGTCCGTTAGAACTGGACGAGCATCGTGTCTCGATCGCTTGTATCGTTCGGATGAAATTAACGCGATCGTTATCGTTTGTGACGCTGTAGTTGGACAACACTGAATTGAATTGCTTCGAGAAGAATTTAATGATCAATCGGATCGTTTAATTTGATGAGCTGTGAGCTTTTGGGAAATGGAGCAGTTGCTTTGAGAATTTGGGGATTTGCGAGTTGGGAAAATTGGAAATTTTTAAATCTGGACTTTAGGATTTGGAGATTAAGTAGTTTGGCAAAATTTGAAGATTTAGAGATGTGACATTTCACAAAGTTGAAACTTTACCAAATACTCCGTCAATATATACCTTTACCCATAACGTTTACCTGCATCTAAAAATCTCTATTCCCCCATCCATAAAAATAAATCTGCAAGCGAAACCCTGTTCTCAAGTAACATCCTACCCATACTCTAACATGCTAATCGCGGTACCCTTTCCAATTTCCATGGAACCTAACAAACATGCCATCTATTCTCGTTCTATCGACGGTCTTGGTAATTCCTTTACGACTGTCCGCAATCAATTTCGCGAGTGACGGTGTACAAGTGGTGTCCCGCCATAAAACCGTCGAGCATCCTATTTTTCTCACCTCGGGCGTCGGTGGCGTCGCGTCGTGCAGAAAAAGCGCGACAAACAAGCCATGGCGAGCTCGTAAAATCAGTGGAGCAACATTTCGGGCGTCGATACATATTTGATCGGGCGATCGACAGCGAACGGTGATGAAGCGGCAGGGGTCATACACGTTGGGAGCAATACTAGACGTCTTAACGGTGGCGAACAGATATTTATTGCGCTCGTGGGACACCGTCGATGCCACCGATATAACTAAATTCGCGTTTATGGTCCTGTCTGACCCACTCCAATCGAATATCCTCTCTTCTTCCAATGGACGAAAACGGAGAGATGGGACAGATAGGAAGGGCGAGAGATACTGAATCATTCGTGAGGGCATTAAATTGTGGATAGCGAAGCTGGATATTTCTGGACCTTTGGCAAGATGGCTAATGAATAGAATTTTAGATGTGGATACATTCGTAATGATGCAATTGGCATATCTCAGTGCCAGTGTTTAGTTCTAATGCTACATCGAATATAATAGCGTGAGTTGGAACAATAGATGTGTTTCAATTGTAATTGTAACTGAACACTTGGAAATGTAAGGAAGAGGTGTCTACAAGTATCTAGAGGGTCTATAAGTAATCTGAAGATCTATTCAGGGATCATTGTATCTGGAGATCTAGGTACCTAGACTAGGTATCTGACTATATAGAAAAGTAGACATCCAGGGATCTAATCACCCAATATCTCAGACATCTAGGGATCTGGCTACTCAGTTACTTAGGTATCTACGGATTTAGGTATTCAGTGACCTATGTATCTAGAGATCCAGGTACTCAGTGACCTAGATATTAAGTTAGTATCCAATGATTCAGATATTCACTAATGTAGATATCTGAACATTTAAGAAATCTAGTATCTGAGAACCCAAATGAGGATCTGGGTGATCCAAATGTTTATGAATCTAATTATCTAAAAATCTAGGTACCCAAAAATTTCAATGTTCTACACATATCTGACATTTAACAATAAAGCTCATCACTACGATTGTTCACTTTCTAATCGCCATTCACTACAGATGTTCCTACTATTAATCCCTCAAATTCTGTTTACCAAGTTGTTGAAAATTATAATACAGTTATTCTCCTATCCCTTACGCGTTAATTGAATAACCCTGTGCATGTCAAGGGAGGGTAGAAAATTAATTTCGAAATTGAGCGAGCGAAGGTAGCAGCTCAGCGCGAATTTTATTTTACACGGCTCGCCCCGTTATTCGCGTGTGCCAGTCGGCTTTTATAACGCATTCGCGCGATGCCAAGGGTGGCTTTATGACGGATGAAAAACACCGTGGAGGTGGAGAGGTTGGAATTGTGACAGACAGGGTACGCGATGCAATTATTTTTATGCCGAGCATGCCGCCTTTGCACCTGTACCTCCTAGCGTCGTAAACAGTTCGCGTTACTGCTCGCAGCGGCGATAAGCCGCGCGTTCAACCGCGGAAAGTTGAAACAAAGGGAAACCCACGGCATTCGTTTCGTTGGATGACCGACAGAATTGTTGCGTATTCTCTGTCTGCTTGATCTCGTTGGAAAAAATATTCTAGGGAACGTTTGTTCCTGCCTTTTATGTTTACGCCGTATGGCTACTTTTTAAAATGTTTTAGGGTGAGCGGCTCGAGATTACAACTTCTGGACTTGTAAATTCTTTTTCTTACGCTTGCAAAACTTTGTATATTGCTCAATTGTCAGTTGTTAATTACCAAAATATTTTCTCATTACTAGTTGTAAATTAATTTTTGTCACACAATGAACTCAAACTCAGGAGCCTACTGAAGGCACATTGTTCATCACCTAACTTTTTATATATGTATTTGGTGAATTTGTTGGAGAACCCCGTTAGCTATATAGCATCTTCAGTTTCAAAAAATCTACCCCATCTAGCTCGTTACATTATCAGTATTCAACTTCTTTCACTTTATATACTTTTAAGAGGTCAGTCCAAATATTTTGATAAGAAACACTGCTTTATACAAACGTACACAAGAAGTAGCGAAAAATGGGTGAAGTTATAACACATTACATAAACAAGTGTGCTCAAAGTGCTGTTAAAAAGGAAATCAGAATAAGCAATTGTTCTTTCGCGACTGCTAGTAATCAAATTCGTATCTGTTCTAAACTAAGAATATCGTGCTATGAGTTATGAGACGTAACAAATGTACTAACCTTGGTCTTGGACGCATGGAAGTCGTCGGCGATGTTCCTGAGGTTAGCACCCACGTTCGCCCACTGGTTCTCGTTGAATGCCTGACCGAAATGGCCGCAGCAGTTGATGCAGGTCGGCTCTGCTGGTCCTTTCTTCATGGCAACGGCGCCACCGCACTCGGACGCGAGTCTGCGTCTTCGTGGTCGTGGCCTAGGGTTCGGCGTCGGTACTAGAACGTTCTCGTCACCGCTGCATTCCGGAAACTGGAAGGCCGCGTCCCTTGTAGGGCTACTAGGCGCCGACACGGTCACCTGAGGCGTTGCAGCCGGAAGTTGTTCAACGGCGGACAATACCAGATCTGGCAATGGTAACCGGGATAGGTCAGAGTCCACCAGGACCACCGGGTGTTCTCGGGATCCGAAACCATCACCTGCTCGCCGTGGTATCCGATCTGGAAAGCAAATAACCATAGTCGTTTATATTTTTTCTTTGCAGATCTTCAGATGTCATAGATTTACTGGACAAGAAGATACAAACACTCTGGATTCGAGATGAAGGGACAAATATGAAGGACACGAAGACAAATAGGTTCTTGTGTATCAAATACACTAGTTTGAAACAATATCTGGCTTGATTTGATGAATAATAATAGTCTTAAAATGGCACCCCTGACTTAAGATGAATGGACAAGACGAAATTGATAAATATATGAAACAATTTAGTTTGAAACATAAAATGTCTGACCTGCATTGATAACACAATAGCACAATGACATGGGAAGAATAAATATTATAATATTGAAACATATTTCAATATAATATTGAATGATATAGGATAATATTGAAACAATAAATGTCTGCTAAAGTTCCTAATACAAAATGACTGATTGTCAATGAATGACTTGACGCAAAAATCCCATTAATTTATATAGGCACAACGATATGAGATATTACTAAAAATGATGTTAAGGAATCAAATTTTTGGTCTGAAGAAATGAGTAAGGTGTCTTTGTTTTCTTCGAATGAACACGTGGATGAATGCAATTAATATGGTACGTCAGGGTTGAATTTAATGGTAGTTACTCACAGTACTGCATCGCAATTATATCAATTATCTACAGCTTTCCCTTTTCATTATTCTGCTTAACCAACAAATGATGATGAAACAATTAAGCTACCAGAACAGGTCTTTGAGAAAGATCATTTGTACCAACATTCAGACACCACATTATAAGTGTGCACCTGTGCAAATATACAAACTAAATATTAAATATGACAAATTGAATAACATTACTAAGCATAAATTATAGCGAGTGTTAAATGCAATAAGTATGCATAAAAGAACAGTTTCCACAAAAAAGAATATATCGCAGTAGGTAAATGCCAGTAAATAAATCTTCGGTCCGCTAATTACTCACGGTGTCAAGATCTGAATCACAGGAAACACCTCGAATTTCGTCATTCAATGTATCATAGATCACCGGCTAAATTCGACCCAACATCGTGAAACCAACGTTCGATCTTAAAGTTCAAACTTTCGATCGTGCGATACCGATCACCGCGAATTCATCATCGCCATTTTCGAGCCCCCCGGGCGATCTCTGTTCGACCGCTTACCGAAAACAGATGCCCCCCGCGATACACGGCGTGTGCAATCGACGAAACCGCAAACGCGGTTCAACGTATCTGGATTTACCATCGATAATTAATCGCGGCACAGAGTCAGAGTTGCGTCACACACAATGGAAATGCTACGATCTATCTACGCACGCTGAGACGGCCGGTTCACTTATAAGGTTTAATGCCACTGCGAGATAGACAACGGCAAGGCAATCTCGCTGCCCGGTAATGGCAACCAACGACATTGTTGGCTAATGATTGTCTGAAAATTTACAACGCTCCAACCGTTAGCCTTCGTTCACGATTTCCACGTGTCGGACGGGAAAATACTCGTGCACGTCATTCGATACGATTTCTGCGAATTCTGCATTTCATCATCACAAAAATTGAGGGACAAAAATGTGCAAATATTTTTAAATTTTTTCAATAAATATTCAAAAAATTAAGGGACACTTTTAAAATTATATTTTGGTGAAAATATTTTTAATTATTTCTTTAAATATTGAAGAACTTTAAATTTCATCAGCACAAAAATTATAGTGTTCAAACAAAGATTGTACTGTGCAAAAAATATTTTTAAATTTTGTCTTTAATTTTGTAAGACTAAATACTTGAAAGGAATCGGCAAGAAAAATAAGTTCAAATTTTAAGTCGAAATTTTTTTCTTCATTGTGTTTCACGAAATATTTTATCAGGCATGTTTCGAAAGTAGAGTGCTACGATATCTAATGTGTGGGGAACGCTCGATTATCGAGTAATGGCAGACTGCGTGTCTCGTCAATGAACGCACGCTTTTCGAAACATTTATCAACGGCAATTATTCCGGAAAGAAACATTCTGGGACTGATAAGCAGTCGAGTTCTGTCTCCCGAGCGTCCCGACGAGATAAACGCTGCGTAATTTCAGCCGAAACCGGTAAACAGAAATGCATTCGAGAAACTGTCGCTCGTTTCTACGCCGCCTTCGATAATTAAGAGCGGGGTAAGCGAAGGGTCACGGCCAACGGTAATTAACCTTAACGAAGCCTTCTCTTCTCGACCAGAAGGACTTGTGCGTTGGGTTTGTTTCGTTTACTCACGTTTTGTGACGCAGTATTAATACGTAATGATTTTACGCGTTTGCATTTTTGCTAGACTAATAAAATTAACACGATCACCACATCGTTCATGCAAACTTTCACTTCAATCGTCCACTTTGCGAACATTCTTGCTAACTCAATACACAACTTCTACTAATATTTAAAGTATTTTACAATTTACAGTATTTAAAGTATTTCTTATTTTTAAGTATCTAACAAATGTTAAATATATTAATGGTAAGTAGAATAATCGATTAGTTGAAAAGAAAATTACTATGTAATTTTGAATAAACCTTGGTGATTAAAATGTTTGATGCAGCATTAAGACGTATGTTGCATTAAGACTTGTATGTCTTGTACGTCGCAAGAAACATTAATTACAGTGTCCGTACGTCAATTTAAGATTTCAGTACACCTTGCATTAAAACAGTACTAATGTTACTCTAGGTTTCTTCTCTGTACTTAATAACGTGGAAACATGTGGATCTCCACACACGTGTGAAGTACGTAATGAGAACGTTTGAGAAAATTTGAATACGTCGTAGTACAGAATCTGAGAGACGCTTAAACCGCATCGTATCACGCGGACGTATGAATAATCGCGCTTGTATCACTGACTCATCCACCAGCACCATTATTCGCTGCCGTACCTCAGCCAGCAGGGATTAAAAGAGCATATACGTCGTTTAATGCTCTCTTTTAACGTAACAACGCTATTAGTATCTCAAACTGTCTTTAAGCACGTCAGGAATACTGACTCTTACATGTGCGTTCAGTTTCTTTATTATTCAAACATGTTTTCAATCTTATGATGAGTATTACTATAAATAAACATCTGATACAATGTTCTTGAAGATAAGGTTACCTCTGTGAAATATCGATAAATATATTTATATCGCTTCAGGAAGTGTTCAATTGAGATAATCTTTTTTATAACTTTAATAAAGCTTTTGCAGGAGTATATTTTGTTACTAATTATTCAATTTTTGGATACTTATTTTACAACAAGTGTTAGATGGATTATTCGCTATTTTACGTAAAGTACTAAAATTATGTAAGTGGCCATTAAGAGTTCATGTGAACTAAACTACGACTCCATTTTGAAGTTAATAACCTAGACACGAAAAACGTGCTGTTTCTGAAGAGGTGTGTTACAGACATCCACAAGCAGAAACCACAAGCTGTGGTTACCTTTGTTTCTAATTCAATGACTCATTTTCCACTACATCATCGAAATATTGAAATTCACATAGACAACGACCTGTGTCAGCTAAAGTTTATTCACATTATTAATTTGACGGAAATTCATGATCAAAACAAAGAACAAAAGGAATGTAATTTTAAAGACGTATATTAGAGTTCCGCAATTGGAAACCATTACACTAACACTTGTTTATAATTCAACGACCATTCTTCCACCGACCACTTAAATCATCAAATCAGACAAATGATAAAAACGGTGTCGATCCCATTAGACGATAAAATCGTGATTTAAACAACGCAGAATTACCATTAAATCAAGCTCAATCGAATGACTCGATTTCACAATCGCATCGTTATCTTTCCGAGTCCCCTCGCCTCGAACCGCAGCGCGGCGCTGCGATCGAATCACCAGAGCAAAGCGACGTACAGCATAATGACGTTTTCATCAAATCACACCACAACTCATATTTTTACCAAATTCAAACACAAACTAATTCTTAAACATATAGAATCACTCACACTTCTATAATAAGCATACAAATTGCATAATATAACACAAACTGAGACTTGCTATTCGGATTTTGATCTGATGTGCATTACTTAGGGTAGTGCTATCACTATGTGTACGGAAAACTTCAAGATCCATGTGCTTCAGATCACTTTGTCACGAACCTATTTTCTGAAATTTGTGCATACTCAGATGGAGCTACATAAAATTCTCCATTTTCATTATCGAAGATGTTTAAATTCCTCAGCAGAAATCTATATGGACCACATATACTGATTTTAAAATACTATAAACATTGATAAGTATAAAAAGATGGATAAGAAAGTTGAGACTTCGTCCTAAAAGAACTAAAGACAAATTTACTAAAATATTCGAAGAAGAGCTAAAAACAAGATTGCTAAAAATTTAGGGGTTGTAAACCGATATGACAGAAAGAAAATGTAAGTTGCGAGAAAAGAATGAGCTCGTGGGCTCGTCGCAACATTTAAGCGCGGCAATTTTCGCGACGGTGCGGAGCTGGAACGCGGCTCGCACGTAAATCGAGCCGATGCGTGACAAAATAACAATTCTTCGCGCCTCGGGCCGCCATTGTCTCGGAGTCCAGCGGTGGCTCGTTCGCTCGCAAGCACACGCGGTTGCATCCTTGACATTTCGAGTAAACGTCCGCGCGTACAGCGACTCTCTTTCGCTTGTGCAATTCGAGCGAGCGAGTGAGCACATCGGCCACACATCGTCGCCTACTCGTTCGACTGTGGCCGCGCGCGATCGCGAAACCTCTTGCCGGCAATAAAAGCGACGAGCCCCGGTGCAGTCGTCGCTTTTCACCGCTTGCAAAACACTGCCTCCGCGAGCGCCGAAGATATCGAGCCTCTGCTTTCTATCTGGCTTTTCCTCGGCCAAATGTCACTACTCGTACACCGTGAGAACCAACCTCTTCCGAAAGAGATTTATATAATAAACGACTCCGCTAATTATCGACCTCGAGAACGTTGGAGAGAGACCTGCCGATTCTGTCGCGGTTCAACGGTAATTCACAGCTGCGT